AGACTCCCCAAATTTAAAGACCCAGTTAAAAAAATGGACATGTGAAATAAATAGGCACTTCTCAGATGGATAGGTACTAAGAGCTGATACAGCAGTCCCTCACCATTTCAAGGTTCGACTTGGCGGATTCACTGTTTGGCAGACTCACTGTTTTGCGGGTTTCCAAAAAATATATTAATCTAAATTATCATGGATTTCTCAATATATTGTGGGATACTGTGGTAGTGTATAGTATTGTATACACATGTTGTTAAAATTGCATAGGTGTACGAGTTTAGAAAACGGTTAAGAGCATTAGAACTGTCTTCAAAAGTGTGGGAAAGGGTGATAAGAGTGTGGGAAGGGTTTCTAAAGCCTTAGACTGTATATAAATACTAAAATAAATATAACATTGTTACTTCACTGATTTTCACTTATCATGGGGGTGTGTGGAATGAAACCTTCATGATAAGTGAGGAACCACTGTACATAAATTAAAAATTTTCAACATTGTTGGCTACTGGAGTAATTCAAATTAATACTCAATTTCTACCTTTCTCAAAAAATCTACCAGTAACAAATGCTGTAGAGGCTGAAGGGGAAAAAGGAAGCCTTCCTCAACATTGGTGGGATGTAACCTGGTACAATCACTATGGAAAACAGAACGGAGATTCCTCAAAAAACTCAACTAGAAATTCCATTTGCCCTAGCTACTCCCCGTTGGGGATCTACCCAAAATAGGTAAAGAAGTCATGTCAGTGACATATACATACTCATGTTTATAGCAGCACAATTCATTATAGCTAAATCTCGGAAGCAGCCTATATGTTCATCAACAGATGAATGGGTAAAGAGAGTATTTACACACAATGGAGTACTACTCTGCCATAAAAAGGGATAACCTTGAGTCATCTGTAAGAAAAGGGATACACCTTGAGACTATAATGTTAAGTGAAATAACTAAGATACAAGCTTAAATGTCACATGATTTCTCTTACAGAAGAAATCCAACATATAGAGTGAAAAAAAAAAGACAATAGGAAAAAAGAAAACAAAGTTATTGTCTGCCACCCAAGTATGAACCAGGCCTGACCCTGGTTAGCTTTCAAAATCAGAAGAGATCAGGCAGCTCAAGATGGAATGGTTATTATAATCCAGCATGAACAATGTATCCAAAAGCATACCTTTATTGTAATTATCTTGTGTGTTTTCTATGCTTACCGACCTGTTAGTCTTAATCTACTTTATATATTTATTTTTGGTACTGGGGATCAAGCCCTGGACCCTGCGCTTGGTAGACAGGCTCTTAAGCTGCTGAACTATCTCCCCAGCCCATTAATCTGTTGTATGATACTTCAACAAGGACTTATAAAAAAATTTTTTTTAGAGACTTAACATACCTAGGAGCTGGGGAGATAGCTCGGTGGATAGGCACCTGCCTGGCAAGTACAAAGTCTTAGTGCTGGCACACACCAAAAAAATTAGGTGGCAGAGATAACTGTCCCCCAATATCACACTCCCATTTCTCTCATACAATAATAGAGCTGAGGCAGGTGTGCGACTGTTCAAACTTGAAAAACACAAATCCATCTTGCAGCCTGCCCAGCAGGAGGGAAGCCAAGTGACTCAAGTCAGGAGCTGCAGGAGAAAACAGGCTCCATTTGCAATGAGTTCATCCTAACCATCCAGCAGAAAAGTACAAAAACAATGGATAAAATGTAAAGCCATATTAATATGCTGAGCTGTAGAAGGCTCAAGTCAACAACTGACATTGCCAGTCTTACGGAAAATCCACTACTATTATGGACTATGGGACTATATTGGAATATTTTGCTGAATCCATGCACCTATAATATTTAAATGACAATGGAATACCCTTCTCTGACAAAACTAAACAAAAAAAGGGGATACAAATGAACGCCCATTTTGTATCTGTATATTCAAAATAGGATAGATATAGAGCTACTTTCTCTTAATTCAATGAATAGAAAGATTTGTTCTAATAGTGTTTGTAAACAGGATATCATGTCTGCATCTTATACAATGAATAACCACTAAGACAATAATATGCAACGTATTAATTATTGAAACTGTCCTACTAATCAGATTTGAAACTGTCTCATTGCTATTTCTTTCTCAATAAAACTATTGAAAAAAAATCTGAAACAGGTCAGTGCAGCCACATGTCTTGGAGCTGAGCTCAGCCAGGTGGGGAGCAAGACAAAGGGCCAACTCTCCACCCCTGTGTCAGGCCACTTTCATTTCCACGAGGAGAGCGGAACCAGTGCTCTGCTGCGCTGGGATCCACACCACTCCCACTGCAAATGAGCCCAAGTCCAGCTCACACCGAGACAGTGCTCGGTCTTCCAGGGAGGATGCAAGGCTGACCTCACGCCCTGCTCTCTCACTTGGCCCTATCACTGCAAACACAGGGAGAGTCTTTCCAAAGCTGTCCTGCAGCAGTGATCTTAGACAGAGGAAAGGCCCACAGAAGCAGCACTCTGGGAGACTGAGGCAGGAAGATTGCAAGTTTGAGTCCAGACTGGGCAACTTAGTGATTTAGTGAGACTCTCTCAAAATAAAAAAAAATGGGCTGGATACACAGCTTACTGCAAAAGCCCTAGGAACAAAGGTCCTGAGTTCCATCCACAGCACTGAAGGAAAAAACAATGAAAGGAAGAAGAACAAAAGACTTGAAATCAGAGGACCTGGGTCACAGTTCAACATGGGCGACTGTGTCACTCACGTTTTAACAGAACACTAATACAACTGGACAGGACGACTGTGTGCAGATGGTCTGCGTACCAGTGAGTATTCTGCTTCAAGTGTTTTGTTACTAAAAGGTATCCTTGAGTCACTTTTATGCTTGGAAATTCAAGCATAAACCTCAAGCATTCAAATGAAAGACCGCCCCCCCCCCATTCCCTGGGCACAGGAGAATGCCTGAGGACACACTTGTCTCAAACTCAGAGTCGGCAGTCTGATGCTGAGCCAAATTTGTCCAAGAAAGCAGCTGCCTGCTCTGTCAATGCTATAATTTAAAGTTATACTTATTAAACTTAAACAAAAATCCGGGTCCTGGCTGCACCAGCCACACTGCAAATACTCAGCAATGACGTGTGGCCAGTGCCAGGCACACTGGGCGGAGGAAGCTTCTGCAGTGTGCACAGGGTGGTGGCACAGGCCTAACGCAGGGAAGGACCCAGGAAGGGGCCTGAAGGCAGCAGGAGGAGCATCATCTGGTGCGAAGGGGGTGGGTGGCTCTGATGTCTGAATTTCATGGATTACAGAAAAAATGTTTTATGAGCAGATTCTAACAGGATTTTAAGTAATTCCCCTCACAGGTGGAGAAAACTCTAAAATATCTAAATATTTTGAGAAAAGGGTAAAAATGAAGTATTCCTAGTACAAAGACGGTTTCTGCTATTTACATGAATGTAGCACATGACTCCTTGTTTTAGATTCCTGGATGTGCCTTGACACAGCGCTCTCTCTTGAAGAAAGAGGGAATCTAAAATTTTTAAAGTAGACATACACACACACTCACACACACACACACACACTCATTCACAGATACACACGGAAAAAATGGTGGTAAAAACTAAAGTGAAAAGGCAAATTAATGACAGAAGTTAAACAAAAAATGCTGCTGGCACTGCTACTTTAATGCTCCTTTTCCTGGAGTACTAAGGTAAGAGAGAAGTCAAAGGGCAACTAGCAAGAGCCTTCTAACTGTAACTTAAAGAACGATCTCCACCTAATCACAGCCCTGTCACCTTTGCTCCAAAGTCCACGGGCCAGGCAGATGGTTCAGTGGACTAAGCGCACTCTGCCTCTGCCAACACCACTCCTCCGGATCCCTAAACACTGCCACCTTGTGAGTGCTGCTGGTATGGCCGTCCAGGCACAAACCTCCTGACGCAGTGGAACTGCTGCTCTCCTCCCTTGCTCTCAGGCACCACCTCATCAGTGGTCTGGGTTTCCTAGTGCCAGAGGAACACATCCGAAAGCTACAGGAAAAGGACACCTTAGCAGTTTAAAAAAACTGTAATTTACAAGCTTGGATAATAAAGAATGACTCATTTGTTATTTCAATTAACATTTTAAAACTTAAACATGCTTCATATCATGGTGGGAAGATGCCCGCTTTCACTCGGGCTGACCCTGGGTTTAATCTTGGTTCCGGCTAAGCCCGCTGCACAGTGCAAGAGCTTGCCAGCAACCCTTGGCCGCCAGGACTCCACACTCATCCCTGGACCAGCTGAGCTGCCTGCTTCCCCGACAGGGATGTGAACTGACACAGAAACCAGCAGGACAAATGGCCCTGCCACTGTCCTACATTGTGGGTAGCCTGCGTCTCACCTTCTCCAGCGGGCAGTGGGTGCTATCTCGGAGAAAAGGCAGCAAGTTGGGTCGATCGTATTCTGCGTAGAGACTGATCTGTTTCTCATGGTAGCGCTGCCCCTTGTGATGGTCTCTCTTGAAAAGCTTGTGCAAATACTGCAGGAAGCACAGGTAAGAGGTGAGCACCGAGATCAGAAAAGCATGATGTTTGCTCCACACGGCTGTGCTCAAGGGCTGATGGCACCCATAGACGGGGGACAAACAGTGGGCAGAGGATTCCGCTGGTGATGATGGAACAGGAAGAAGCCCTGCTGGACAGGAAGGAGATTCCTGAGTGATCTGGCTCTGCCACCAACCATATGACCTCGGGCAAGTCACTACCTGTGATGCAGTCCCTTTACCCACAGAAGTTCTCGCTGAGTTGTAGTCAGAATGAATGCCAAGCTACGACTGTCTGACAGCAGGCACTGTGGAAGTGTAAGGAGGGTGGCTGTGAATGTCACCCTTGTTTGCTTCACTTCTGAAGTAAAATGTGAAAGGGAGTAGAGTCCTGGGATAGGAGTATGCTCTTCAGAATCTCTGTAATGGAAGCTAAATTGCCATACACTCTCCACTGCCCCTCCTGTATCTTAGTGAGATGTGTGCTTGTGATAAAATGTTGGCTATATGGGTGACATCAGAAAAACAGCAAAACAGAATTAAAAAAATAAAGAATACCAGAGTGCTCATAGGTAACTTCCAAAACAGATTCCTAATTCTAACTGAAAAAGTTAAGAGGATTCAAAGGGAGTGAACACTTTCCACTTACAGTTAAGATGAAGTGTATCAATAATACAGCATGGTGCTCAGAAATTAGAAGTTGAAGTTCAGTGTTGAAAGTTAAAATAAAAGAAAAAGTCCCCGACCTACTAGAGGCAGGAGGACTCAACCACACCAATGACGAGGTGCACTCACACCTGGTGTGGCAGTTGCCAGGTAGACGATACCGAAGAGACACAGAGTGTCAGTCTCGCCTTGACGCTGTGACTGCGGTTTGGTATTTGCTACTGTATACACCGTGACAAATGTATGCACCCCAAGAACCCACTCATCAGCTACCTGTTCTCATCTTCCTGAGACAACAGAGGAAAGAGGAGGAAGTAAGTGCAGCAGGAGGGAACTTACCTGCTCCTGAGGACCACCCACTCCTGGAAGGCCACACTGGGCTGGGGTCAGCATGTAGACTGGCACAGGCGGCGCTGTGACCCAGACACCCAGAGAGAATGGGGAGGCCCTGTCACATCTGCCCACTGACAGAGGAACGACCTCACTGGCAGGGAAGACACAGCTTTTCAGAGTGGTCTCTGCACTATTTCACCCTGCCCCGACTTCACAGGAACACAGAAAGCTGCTGTTGTGAACCCGCCTCATGCCAGACATCACTGCTTTATAAACAGAGTCCCCACAGGGGCCAGCGGAGTGGCGCAATGTTGGGATAAGCAGGCGATCACAATATTTCTGGTCACACACAATAGCATCTTATAACCCTGAGCAAAAAAACCCCATAAGAGTAACCATAGAAAACACACCTCAAGTTCCATTAAGGGCTTCAATGTATAAATAAATTTCTGAATAGAAACTCCCGGACCTCCTCAGGTGTAAGGAGATGAGTGAAGCCAGATGTGTGCTCAACAAACTCGACACTCCTGGTCCTACTGGTATGATCCCTAGATTCACTGACGCCTTTTCTTAGAGATAAAGTTTAAAGGACTAGAAAATGTCTACTATTGCTTTGTGCCTGCAGTGACGGCACAGCATCAAGGCATGCACCTAGGAAACCCAGACTAAGAGGGCTTCCGGGCACAGCCACCAAGACTGTGTGAGAAGGCAGGTCAGCTACAGCTGGGTGAGGCCCCACATGTGATGGTCTGCTCTCGGTCACCCTGTGGGCCTGGAGAATGGCTGTGTGGTAAGTCGTTGGTGAGGCAATGTGGTACCCACAGTGCACTGCGGGCTTGGGCCATACTTTCAGTCAGGGTGATGTTTCACGGTAACTGCAGAGGGAAGGAGCTCATGCATAGGCAAGGTTTGGTAACACAAAAATGAGTAATAACTTCTGAAAGTCACAATTCAACTATAAGTGAAAGCTCAAGTGTCCTTCGCAGCAATCCAGCCTTAGCCTTGGATGCAAACAATATGTGCCACATTTTCATGACTGCACAGTACTGCTGGAGGCGAAAGCACTCCTGGGAACTGACCTCTGTAAGGAGTGCACTCCATGGCGACTTCACCAACACTGCAAGGTATGTCACCCACTGTTACTGTAAAGGGTGAATAAGAACCCAGAGCTCACCACATGCTGTAACTCTGGTCTGTCTTCTAATTCTTCCACCACCTTTTTAATCTAGGAGAAAAAGAAAAAGTTAAACACACAGTTATGAGGACATAGACACAAACACAGCTGCAAAACTTATCTAATGAATATCTTTTTCTTGACAGTGAATGTGGCTCCAGATATTCAAGAGACACAACGCTGTGTTCTGAATATGTCATCCCCTCTGAAACACAGACACTTGATTTCCACATTCAACAACACTGAAGCAGGGAGGTTGGAGGGGGACAAGTGGGAGGCAGCTGGACTATGACTGCCCTAAGAGTGGACTAAGGTTGGTCTCTAAGAGTAGGTAAAGCTCATGAGAGTGGGTAGCTACACAGTGCGAGCTCAGCCCTTCCTATTTCACACGTGACTCTCCCAAGGTCTGCTGTGGCCTCTGCCATGTGCCCTTCCTGTCTGTCACCACATGATGTCCCATGCTACTCTGCACTGTGCCAGCAAGAACACCAGATGGGCCCTCTCAACCGTGTACCAGACCCATGAGTCACAATAAATTTCTTTTATTTTATAGCCTATCCAGTCTGTGGTATGGAGTTATTAGTAACAGCAAATGAACACACACATAGAAACAATTCAAAACATACTCACTGAAATTTTATCTTCATTGTCTAAAAGCATGTCAACAGCTTTCTGAAATATAAAAAAATAAAAATAAATCGCCATAGTCATTGAAATCTGCTGTGTAAGAAGGGAACACTAAAGACAATGTCACACACCCTCGACACAGGTCAAGGTGGAGGGCTTACTTCCTACACTTCAGGCACACTCAGCTTTCGAGTGGCCTTTCTGGAAAGTGCTACTGTGGAGGCATGCATTTTCAAATGTGTCTTGACGTGAAGCCTACGCGCTCCTGCATTCTTCTAGAGGTGCCTCGCTATCACTTAGCAAGTGCCAAACATCCCACTACACATAGAAGAGCCCCTGAAGTCTCAGGTACATTTCCACTTCCTCCTGTAACTCCCATCAGCTATACAGAGGGGCTCGATACCACAAAAATGTGCCTTTCTTCTAACTACCTCAACCATGACTAAGTCTACCTGTGAGATTCCAGAGAAAGGAGGGGCTGGTTTCAAGTGGAGAAAAGAGATAGGCCAGAAAAATAAGGCACCTTAAGTTTCAAAGTGCAAGAAAGCTTGTGGATTTCTAGGATCTCTTTTAGTCAACTCTGAACATTTATGAAATGCTAAGTAGTTTACGACAAGAGCAAGTGGAAAGACAGCCCAGGATACAAATACCTGGGTCCTGCCTTGAGCCTGCTCTCTGCACCAAAGTTTATTTTTTGTTCTCTGAAATATGAGACTCTTCTCAAGGTCTCTTCTCATGAGAAAACTCTGGTTCCCTAACTTTAGTTCAAACTCTTGAATAGCAGTTAGTTTCCACTCGTTCATCTTTTTTCTCCTAGCCATATTTGGAAACCAGATTCTCAATACACTGGTGGGGCGGGGTCTGCGGGAAAACAAGACCTGGTGACAACGCATTTGAGTTTTATATAAATATCTCATCCTCCTAATCGTCCTCTGCTAGAGGAGCAGAGCCTTTCTACTAGTTGTTCACACTGCGTAATTCTTCAACAGTCCTGTAGCTCCTACAGATTTGATGTGGTACACAAAAATGGAATAAAACACCTTTGAGAAAAGAGATCTAGCTTTGACCTAACTCAGGTTCCACCCACCACTGTGGGGACTAATGCTGCACATTGTACCCCAAAATATAGTAAAATATAACTAAAAAAACACATTGATCCTTGTAGTGCTTTCAGATGTCTACTTCTTGACTTCTCTAAAATTTCAGCTTTCTCAGTAAGAACATCAGGTTACATGGAGCCTGTTATTTCTATCACCAGTACTTATAATTACACTCCATTACACCACACACACACACACACACACACACACACACACACACACCCCACTATGAGCTGTGGAGGCTGGGTCCCTTTATAAGTCAAACAACTTACTATTCAAATTTGAATTATGCTAAAATAACATACTCCAAAAACAAACTAACAAACAAATGATAGTACACTCCATGCATCTCGGACCTCCATGTTTTTAATAGAAACCTCACCTGCTGGACCAACAAATGCCAAGGAATATAACAGCACAATGTGGATCTAATCTGAAGACCCCTTAAATTTTAATTCTGGGGCACAGATTAAAAGGGTTACATGAGTCAAAACATATTCCTCACTTCTCTGTTTCTATGAATTATGAGCTGTTTTACTAAAAGCAAATGATATACGCACTTAGAAATTCCATGTCAAATTATGATTTTTCTTTTACAGAATGCTGGCTACCAAAACAACCTAACATGTCATCCCAGCACACACGCTCATTCAGCAGCCCAGCATCTGGACAGATGTCTAATGACTGAACACCTGGGAGAGTAAAGCAATTTAAAAGTACTAATAAGAAGCACATCACCTCCGAATCAAAATCCATTAATAAAACTATCTTGTCCTTGATAGAGCTGAAAAGATTGTGCTTGTGGATCAACTGGAAAACATCTTTATGTCTCAGGGTCAAGTAGATCTCCAGAGCGTTGCTGTAGTTTTTGTCATAGGTGTACCTGATGACACAAAAATGTTTATATGCCATTCATCAAGGGCTCTAAAATGTAGACATTATGTTTTATATTAAAACCTGAAACCTTATTCAGAGAGAAACATTAAGCTTATTTTGAAAAACAGTCTGTCTCACTTACTTTTCTTGTGTTGCTGGGACAAAATACCTGACACCCAAAATTAGTGAAGGAAAGGTTTATTTAGCTCAGTTTACGGAAGTTTCAGTCTATACTTGGCTGGCTCCAAGGCAGAGTGGCACATGGCAGAGGGCAGCAGTTCATGGTGGTGGAAAACAGCAAAACAGCAACAACACAAGGGAGGAAGCCTTGTGGCAATGGCAGGCAGCAAGCCTCTCTCCCTTCCCTACACTACATTCAGGCTATCCGTGGGTGTAGTGCTCACGCCCACCCACAATCTCAGCCTTGGATCATGAATTAATCACAAACTCTCAAAGTTTGTTTCCCCAATGACTGCATGAGGCCCTGGGGGTACAACTAGACACAAACTATAACAGTCCTAGTGATTTAATAATTCATGACCAGTGAATGTTTCTCAGAATCATGCCTTTCATTATACCAACATTTATACTACTTATATTTTTCTTTTTTTTTAATGTATTTAGTAAGGGTCTACAGGGTCTCACTACACAGATTGGTCTTGTAGTGATCCTTCTCTTTCCAGCCACCCGAGCACTGGGATTACAGATGTGCGCGCCACCACGCCCAATCTCATTCACTGTCAGTGTGCCCCCGGGGTGGGGCTGGCACAGCACGCAGGGATCCAATCCCTGCCCGTGTCTGCCTAAGCAGGTGCTTCAATCTACTGAGCTATCTGGCTGGCCCTTATACTGTTTAAATAAGATTGTTTTGTTGGCAGTAGCTAAAACTGAAATTGATCCTGTGTGTGAGGGCAGGATGAGGCCTCACTGCCTAAAGCAGTCAAGCTACTTCATTCTTGAGAGAAACATCTGCCTGGACATTGTGGGCTATTAGTCACTAGGCAACCTTGTGTCTTGTAACTTTGCAAAGGTAAAAATAAATGCCCCTACTATTGTTCTAGAGTCCTTTGCCTAGCAGGCATGGTCCACCACATGACCTCAGCTATTATCTCTTGTCTTTATTTTCTAAATCCTCTTCTTCTGGGGAACTTTAAGAAACCAACAAATTCCTATGTTTTTCTTCATTAAGGGCTCAACCTTAAAAGTTCTACAGCAATCCATATTCCTGACAATGAAACTGTGATCTGGAATGAAGGCGATATTCATCTTAGTAATACAAAAATCAGTTAAAATTCTTGTTAAGTGGTGTTAAACTGACAAATGTTATAGTCCCAAAGCTCATCTGAGAGGTATACAAAATCAAGAAACACCTTCTGCAGAAATACCATCTTCCACACTAGCTGAGTCCCTGAACCAGCTCAGGAAAGCCAACTGAACAGCAGTGACACTGTTCCTTATGAACAGTGCTACGGCATGCAAGGGGCATCTAGAACAGCATTTTCAAGAGAAAACAGATCACACTCAGCTGGGCATGCAGAAACATAACTTACTGCTCTATGGAAAACCCAACACAGCCCTGAAACTCTAGCCAGTCTGGTGTGATTTTCCCAGACTGCGACAAGGACAACAGGAGGAGGTCTGTGGAGGTGGGGTGCTGGGGGCTGAAGCAGAACTGTGTTCTTGGATGGCCCTACAGGACACTTCATGTTCCTCTAGACTGAGCCTCCTGGAGGAGGAATTCTACTTCTGTCTCACAGGCATCTGGCACACAGCCAGTGAAGGTGCCTGCTAAATGCACAATGTATGTATGGTGTTTGTGCTTCCTGAGGCCTGGATTGGGGGTCAATCTCCAGGCTTGGGTCTCTGCTGTACCGTCTCACTTAAAGTTCCGAATTACCCCAAGAGGATTCCTTACCTTGACTTTGTAAATAAGGAATCTGGTGATTACAAGATTCACTGGCTTCAAGAGCAGCAGAATCCTGAGCCTGGTCCCTGGGAAGCCATTCTGGTTGGCGCTGTGACCTTGGGTTATACTGGACCCTCCTTTCTCACTCCACTCCCCTGCTCTGCTCCTGGTTGCGAGGAACTGAGCAGCTTTGGTCCACTGCACCCCACTGCCATTCCAGCCCTGGAGCCAGCGGGGCATGTGTCCCAGGCCTAATGCCCAGCAGGGCAGCCTCCTGTCTCCTCATCACTGCCTCTCCCCTCCTCAGGACACTCATCACATCCGCACAGCTTCACACATGTCCGCACCTTTTAGTGACTCATCTGACTTATGAAATGCTTTTTATTAAGACTGAGTATAAGGACATTATAAAAATTGGCATTTGGTATGTGCCAAAACTAAAGTATGGAACATTTTTCAATGTAGGATGACTTGCTAAAAGAAAACACTGAAATATACTCACAATTCTGCCAGGGTTTTAAGTAAAGTCTTGTTTTGACTGTCTTTCTTCAAATGATCTCGAACAGCTTGAACTATTACTGAATTGTTGTACAAATCTCCAGGCCATTCACGGATCAGTGTGGCAAAACCCTAAGCAAAGGGAACAGCAGAAAATGAAGACCACTCTTTAATCAGGTATGATATTCCAACATACACAGACTGAGTTTTGTCCATGATTCTGTTCATGCAAGCCCTCCTCAAGGAAAGCCAAATATGGCATCCAAACTTAAGTGTCAACTTGACTAGGTTGGGAGCCACATGTGGGTGGAGCACGCTCCTGGGCATCTCTGGGTGGGATGCAGTGGCAGGGCCCTAGGGTCTGTATCTGGTGCCTGGCCCCTTCCTCCTTTTCCACACTGTAAGTGTGTGATCCCCCTTCTGTGTCTCCAGCTTTGCTCCTGACCACCAGCCTTGCCCTACCACCCCTTTCTCCATGAGGCTCCTGTGTGGAGCCTGCTGACCACAGACTGAATCCTCCAAAACCCTGAACTGAATCTCTCTTCCTTTAGGTTGTGAGCAGTGGATATTACATCCCAGTGACGGGAAAGCTGAGGAATGCATTATACAAATTGAAATCATCAGCTGTAAGACTGTCTTCACTGTAGAGGGGTCCTGTCCACATCCCAAGAAGGAATGCTGAAGAGTCTGAGCAGGTAGACTTACCCTCACCAGGTTTTCACTTTCCGTTTTTTAGCCATCTTGTTTATGCAATGAAATCTCCACAAAAATCCGAAAGGGTGTATTCAGAAAAATTCCAAATGGTCAGCCAATGGGCAAGACCTGGCTGGAAGAGTGAGGTGCTCCAGAGAAGACACAGAAACTCTGCACCCTTCCCACACACTCTCCCTGAGCATCTCTTGATCTGTATCACCCGGCTGGAAGTATCTGCCTGATGGCTGTGAAAACCTTGGTTTACAGCTAGTTAGCCAGAAGCACAGGGACTTGAAACCTGGGGTTTCAAACTGGCAAAGTAGAGGGAGGGGGTTGGGTAAGATATGACCCTAACCTGTGGACTCAGCTACTCTGTTCAGGCTCAGCGTCAGAACCCCACTGGGTTATGGGATAGGACGCCCAGCTGATGGCCACCTCTGCTGAGGCTACAGTTGTCTTCTATGCCCAGTGTTGGTGGATGAGAATGGAAGAAAAATGGTTTTTCCAATGCAAAACCAATTCAAATAGTTTAAACAATGCTGAAAATTATTTACATAAAAGACTGAGCAACAGAATGAAAACTCTCATCAACAAACACTGCACCAGTTCTCTAACTAGGACTTACAGCGTAGCAAAGGCAGGTATGGAGAATCTCATTTATTGATTCGCGGAAGTGGCAGTGCTTACCTCTTCTGTCCATTGTTTTTGGTACAGTGGGTTGGACCTAGGGCGTTCCAACTGAACTACATCCCTAGCCCTGTAATTTTTTTGAAGCTTTACTTTTGAGATAGGGTCTTCTTAAGTTGCTGAATTCCCCAAGCTGGGCTCACACTGTGGTCCTCCTGTCCAACCTTCCAGAGTGCTGAGCTTACAGGTATACATGACCACACCCAAGCTACACCCTGATTTCATGAACTACACAACTAAGAAAAGGTGCACTGCTCCTTCCATAAAGTGCTTGGGCTTGCACTATACTCATTTTTTTTTTTTTTTTTTTTTTTTTTTTGCGGAACCAGGGATTGAACTCAGGCCCTTGCGCTTGCCAGGGAAGCACTTACTCCACTGAGCCATCTCCCCGGCCCCTCTTGTTTTGGACTACAATAACTCAATGACATCTTAGACTTTTTTTTCAGATATCATCTAAGCTACTTTCCTTGCCACCTTCCATGCACACTGAGTGTGAACGTGCAGTTGTGCAGTGCACAGCCAGCACACTTGCACACGGTGGGCCTCCCTGGGGAACAGCTGTTCCCACAGTGAAGTCACCTGGCATCATCCTACTTTAACTAGTTAGCATCTCTGTCCTCTAACCCTGGTTCATGCTGAGATTTAGGACTGTCGTTCAGGTCTTAATACCTATCTCTGAGTCTGACTATCTCTGGATCTCAAATTTTATAGTTCAGACAGAAACTCCACATCGCTGATTTGATCCTCCTGCAGCCAATTCCAGGCCAGGACCCTGGTCTGCATCTACTTTCCTGACTGCCAACTTTAGCTCTCACATTTTAAAACCCAAAATACAGTAGAAAAATTTCCTTATGGATCTTCGACCTTGGAGGTGTGTGTATATGTATGTGTGTGTGGGGGGGTACTTGGACATATTCAAAGATATTAATGAGCTGTAAAAGGTCCTATTATTGGAAAAATATTCATAATAAGTAACTTTATTAATGCTGTAATGAATTTATTTAAGTATTATTTAGAAGTGAAAAGTCTGGTAGAAGTTGTTTCTGTAAAGCACAAGGATTTTGTAGGATGAAAATCACAAAAAGAATCCAGAACACAGTTAATGTCAACCAAAGTAACCCCTAAGAGGACAGCAAGAGATGAGAATGATTGTCCATGCATTCTGCATCTGCACTGCAACCAGGCTATGCCATTAATGGAACTGCAGTCTGACTTCAGAGGCTTGGGATAGGGAGCAATCAGAGCTTCAAAATATTCATGGAACAAAACTAAAACTTTGGGTCAAGCTTCTTTCTTTCCAGATGCCATGCAATGTGTAAGACTAAGCACGCTGTGAAGATGGCCACCCCAACCTGTCAGCAGTCCCAAGACAGGAATCACGTCAGAGGAAAGAAGAAAGTCTCTCCAGGTTCCTTATCTCCTGTTCACGCAACAGCCTCACAGGACCCTCAATTTCTAATACAGAAAATACTGGTCTTACTGCGTGATAAAGGCATAATGAGCCCAGCACCGGTGGACATAAGCGTTTATCCCACTTCACCTTAGGCTTCATGTATGCTGTACACGTGTGCTACTTGAGAAACACTGAGGAAATCAATGCTGGGGCCATTAGGATTAATCAGAGAACACAGCCAGCAGAGTATGGCTTTGACAGAACCAGCAAAGGCATGGAACACCTCAGTCCTATCACAGAGAGGGAAAGACTCAGAAGAATTCATAAGATAAAATGCCAGGGAAGCTGTGTGCGGTGGCCTGCACCTGTAACCCCAGCACTGCAGAAGCTGAGGCAGGAGCTCCAGGCCAGCGTGGGGCAGCAGAGCAAGTTCAAGGCCAGCTGGAACTACAAAGCGGGACCCTGGCTCGAAACACCAAAATCAATCTATCAATCAATCAATCAATCAATCATAGAGACTGTCCCACTTTTAATATGTTTACACATTTATCATTCCTATTATGAAAGAAAACCTAACTACTTAAAACAGTGGTACTAGGTTATAATAGGCAAAGCTATATGCATGTGATTAGAATGTCCATGCAAACATGTCACAAAGTATTATTTGCCAAAGAAAAGCATACAGCTCATGTCTTTTGGAGAGTAAAAGAAAACTGAGAAATCAGCAGTCCAGAGGATAGTTTTGTAGGTTTTGTTTCTTTTTCTTTTTGTAATCTGATCATTAGTGTCCTGTTGGCAGCAGAAAAGTTTTCATCTGTATGTGATGTAGAGGTTGTTATAAAGCACAGCTGTTTATGAGACAATTTAATTCAAAATCAAATACCAAGCTGAGAATAGTGGAAGCTAAAATGTGAATTACATGTAAGAGCTTATAACAACAAAAAATTTACAACTTTCTTAATACTACAGACAAGGAACACAACCCATCCTAAGACACTCAGGAGGAAATATCTACCACCTTGAGGTTTAAGCCATGCTATTCCTTTCAGACTCAGTGTAAAGTTTTCCAGATATTATAAAAATCAGTAAGATACCTTTGATGATTCAAGAATTAAAATAATTTCAGAGTCAGAACATGCGAGAGGACTGTAACAGGATCAGAAAAGGTAAGAGCTGAAGATTTCATATTTCCCATCAAGAACAAATATGACCATGTTGGAACACCATACCTCATAATCACTTTCCAAAAACTCATGCAAGATCATTTCGTAGATGAGTGGTTTCAGAACTGGATCCCCTCTCGGCAAATATGGACTAATAGCCTAGGGAAGGAAAATAAGCATAGAATCCTTTAGAAACTGGTAAAACAGCTTATAACCCCAGCTACTTGGGAAGCTGAGTCAAGTTCAAGGCCAGCCTGGACAATGTAGTGAGACTCTGTCAATAACAACAAAACAAAACTATGTTCCAGTTAAGCAGAAAACATAAAAGTGTATAATTAGTTTAAACCTTGAAGGCAGGTGGGGACAGTGGTTCATGCCTCTAATCCCAGCACTCGGGAGGCTGAGGCAGGAGGATTGTTATGAGTTTGAGGCCAGCCTGAGTTACAAAGTGAGTTGTACGTAAGCTTGAACTACACAGAGAGCCTGTCTCAAAAGAAAAAAAAAATAAATAAATAAGGTAACACAGTACTTTAGAAAGTTATTCTGAAAAGATTCAGATAAACTCTACTTTCTAATAAATTAGAATAAATTTTCTTCTTACATAATCATAGGGTGTGGTTCACATCTATTTATCTTTCCTTAAATGGGTTGATCTTTTGGCATCAGGGAAAACACACCTTGTTTTCATAGTCTGTTTCCAAATACTGTTTAATTTTCCCCTGGCACCTTATGTACCACCGCCAGGTTCTGCACTGGGGATGGGGCACCAGGGTGACCATAACCAAGGGTTCACAGCCCTGAGAAAGACCTGGTGAGGTTATGACAGTGGAATCTACAGAGTGCTGTGGGCACATGGAAGAAGAGCACTTTATCCTTCCGTGCAGTGCTGGGGTTGAAGCAGGGCCTTGGGAATGCTGGACAGGCATCTCCCACGGAGCCACAACCCACACCTCCAAGGAGAATCTTGCCTACCCGGGCCCTGGACCTATTAGGGAACAAAGAATGGGAAAGGCACCCGGCAGGGGAGGAGGGGGGCAGCAGGAGCAGAGACAGGCAGCCAAGAACACAGATCTGTGTTCCGGGCCAGAGGTCAGGTTGGCGACACAGGTCACGGAGGGAGAGGAGGCTGGGGAGGAAACAAGGTAGAGAGCACGGGAGGAATTCCAATTTTTTTTTT